CACAATTTTAATTTTCCTTTATCTTCAACTTATAACAGGAGTACTGCGATGTTTTTTTTAACGAGAAAACTTGTTCAACGAAAAATAAACCAAACTTAGTAAGCAACTATGCGACCTAAACAGATCTCGCAGTAATAAAGAAATAAAATAAAAGGCACGTATATTTTCTTGTATTTCAAGATCATAAATAATATCATATTTCTGCTTATTTAGAAAGATAATAATCCTTCCCTAAGGACTGTAAATTATCGCTTTAAGAACTTTTTGCGGCAAACCGTAATAATCTGCTAAGGATAGGATTTCACGGTGCATAAAAAATGAAGTACTTTTTGAAAAGTGTCCTTCATTAATCAAGGCAAAAGATAATAAAACTTTCTAAAATAAAAATTTACTTCTTAGAAAATGTTTACGTACTTGTCGCTTTTCTACGTCAGCACGAGCTTTATTGGCTAATTCATAAAGCACCTTTGAGCCCTGTTTGTTTGCTGACATTAATCTTTCATCTTTGCACAAGGAAATAAGGAAGTACTTGTCATGGGCCATTTGTTCTAAATACTTCGATGCCATTAATCGTGCAATATGTTCAGTCTTTTGTTTTTCTACCCGCGATATCTCTTGTATCTATAAAATATATAAACAACTAGCTGTCGCTCATGACTCCGTCCGGGCGAAATTAAAAAAAACTTAATCTAAGTAAACTAAATGTAACTAAGTAGCCTATGTGTTCTTCCACACCGTTTTCTACATCCATGAAAAATTGCATCGAGATCCGGTCAGCCGTTCCGGAGATACCTACAAACATTCATCCATCTAAACACTCGCGTTTATAATATTATAATAGTAAGATAACGAATTACGCTTTAGAACTAAGCTATGACTGAGAAAGCTTTGTTCACAATATATTATCCCTTTAATTGGTAGAAGCAATTTTGTGTCGTTGAAAAATAAAAACTCGTTTTTTTTGGTTTTTATTAAAAAAAACAATCATATTTAGTGGAAGAAAAAAAACATGGTGGCAATATCCTTGCCACCATTATGAGCTCTGTTAAATTCTGTTCATGGATTTTCCTCTTGCAGTTAGTGAAATAGCGTCACTAAGTTTTAAGGTATTGGTGATACATAGTGGAAAAATCATAAAAATGTGTGCCACCAACATATTGCCACCACCAGTAAAAGGGTTAACACTAGGAAAATAATAATTTTATCCATTTAAATTCACGTATGTTTGTATGTACGTTTATATGTAGTCAACCGTTACGGGAGTAGTTCGCAAACAATTTGTACCATCGATCGGTTTGCATTCTACGAAAACGTCAGGGCATTTGGATTTCGTTGTCCTTTTAGCGACAACTGCAAACATTGTTATAACACACAATTCTATCGGATGTACGTTTTCTATTTGTAAATTTAAATATAAAATGCACTGACCAAAAACAACGTTTTTTTAAATTGTAATAGTAATTAAATAACGATACTTGTTGAGTCGGTTCCTTTTGCATCCTGCTCCGTCGTATTATTACGGTTGGTTCAAAAATATCTTTTTCCATATGATCTATTATTTCAACATCTTTTAGTAGTGTATTTGCAGATTTCATTACTTTTGTTGCGCTAAGTCCAGAACATTCTCGAATCTAGGCAAATGTATTAAATAGTCTTAATCATGTTACAGTTTTTTTTTCTTAATATTTACTAAAATAGACCTTTTAATGATGATGAGACAGACTTTCAGCTTTAGAAGATGCGTTATACTAAAATTTAATTAAGAGTTTGAATTTCACGTAATTAATTTGTACCGTTTCTTCAGCACATCTGGCACAATCGGCGAAGTTCGGAGGCAGAACTCTCAGGTTCTGTCCACAGCTGGCAAGAACAAGAGAACGTTCGAAGGCACATTTTTCGTATTCCGTCTGCGCTTTAATTTGTAGCGCTGTTAAGTTATTTGGCTCGAGTTCTAAGGAAAACAAAAGAAGGACGCTGTATTTGTCTTGTCTATGGGAAATTATAGTTACAGATCGACAAGAATATCTAACCGGTGGGCATAAGTCAAATTAAATTATGAAAGCTCACTAGCGCCCCCCTGTCAACGTAAAAAAATATTATAAGATTGTGGTTGTACATTAGCAGTCATGTACTTTTTTTATTTTATTTTCTGTGTCTAAGTAGGTTTTATTTACATTCTACCAGCGTCAACCGCGATAGCAACGCCTCTCACCGGTTCAGATATCCTTGTTTGACTTTAGTAAGTACTTGGCATGTCTATATTAGGCAGACCCTAATATTATATTAAGAAAAGTTGTTAATTTTGAGCTGCAGAGCCAATTGCTATTTGTTATTCCTCGAAAAGACTAATTCAAAAGAATACCAGCTGCCCGCTCCGCATCTGCTAAAGCCCCAGCATAATGAGTAGCTTTTGCCCGAGCCAGACTTCTACCGAGCAACGACGGGACATCTGAGCTCTAAAAATTAAAATTTCAATAACAAGACAAAATTTATTTTCAATTGAAGTATGTCAACAAAGGTCTCATAACCTAAGTCATTCTCACTAAGAACGAATTTAATAATTGATTATATCATCTTTTACTTACATATGTTAAATTAAATGAACAGTGCAGAAATATTCTCAAAAATATTTTTTCCTTTTTGTTGGCGTTCATGCATTTAATTGTAAAAATGAAAAATTAACTTACATTCCAACGTAGAGCTTCGTTATATGCTAAAATTGCTTTTTCGAACTGCTCTAAGCGTTGTAGGTAATTTCTGTGGTATGTAATTTTTAATCTTATTACAGTAAAGATAACATTATAAAGAGAAGAATTAAATTAAATTTACAGTTTAGTCTTATACGCCATCCTAAATAACGTGTTTAGCGAAAGAATTATCAAAAATCGCTTAATATTAATTTTTGGGAGTCGACCGATTCACGCTATAGATTCCAGGATAACTGGTTAAATATAATAATTGCCTTTTACATAAAAAAAATCTCTATTAACAATCGCTTAAAATCCTTCAAAGAAAGAAGTCTTTAGCAGCTTTTACCTTTCCTTATATGAACAACAATGTATTATGATGATTAATGTTTGTTAAATTGACAGGCGAACATTTTTTCTTCGTCAAACTTTCCATTAACTTACCCTCTTTCTCGATATACCGTAACTGCATTACACACAGGTTTTTCGAATGGTTCCAGTTTTCTCATATCTTTTTTATAATATTTTCCGTAGTAAAATTAAATTTCGTCTTGCTGTAATGTCTAAAAATCTCGATGGCTAAAGAAAATTTGAATGGAGCTACATTTGTAATATGACAGTATTAAATACTCGGAATTTTTAAAAATAACTAAAGATGAATATTACTGGAAAGTTAAAAAAAATCAATATATGCCCCCACCGAGGGGCTCGGAGTCTACCCTAACTAAAGGGTGACTAGGCCTTAGTCAACCACGCTGGCCAAGTGCGGGTTGGTTGAATTCACACATATCTTTGAATTTCTTCTGATATGTGCAGGTTGCATCACGATGTTTTCCTTCACCGTAAGAAAACCGAATAAATGTACATATGTAAATCGAAAATCGAAAAACACATTGATTCATAGCGGGATTCGAACCCCGGACCTGCAGATTGCAAGTCAAGTGCTTGACTCCTGAGCCACCGGGGCTTATTCTATTGTGATGTACTAATTCAATTGTGATGCCTTAATACATTTTCATAGAACAATTGACTTTAGGCAAATTGAAGTTAACATATAATGTTGGAAGTATAAAAACACAACATGACCATTAGTCACCTCGAAAAAGGATCCTTTTAGTAAATTAAGAGGTGCCTTCGCAGTAAAAGCTATACGCTACTATTTTATCCCGTGAGAGCGGGCGGTATCCTTTTCCTAAACGTGGCGATCCATTTATGCCATAGCTAGTTTTAAATCACAAAATGGCACGACTGAGTAACATAATCGGATTCAGTTTAACGTAAACTTCATATAAAAATTAGAGCTGAAAAAATATACATTATTTAAATTAAAAAATTAATATATTGTTAAGATAATTTTATTTATATACCAAAAACTTCGTACTTTTTAATATTTTTTTTTTCAGTTAACAATTAAAAGTTCATTGCATAATGCATTTTATATTAAAATAAAAAAAAATCATAATTAACAACCAACTTATAATTAGTATCATTTCGTACCTTTACTCCCACATATAATGAGATCGGTAACAAAAAGTGCTTATCAATATTGCTAGTATATGTTCGATTCGTTTTAATTGAAGCGAAAATAAAATATAACACAAGAGTCTTATTTCTAAGAACACTCTATCCGATCTTGATTTATTTTTATAAAGCATTTTTATTTCCTTTCCACTTTTATTCTTAAAGGATCCGTAACTAATTAGGGAAATAAAAGTAAATAGGCTTTTGAGAAAATCTTAGAATATTCTGAAAACGTTGATAAAATATTGAAAATATTTCTCGACATTGATCTGATAATTTAGTTTTGTATTCATTGATTTATATCTTAACTAGCTACTTCCAGCGACTTCATCCACCCAAGATTGAAAAAAACTTAATTATTAGTCTGTGTTCTTTCAAATTAAGTTCTATATGTATGCCAAATTTCATCGAGATTCGTTCAGCCGTTCTGGAGATACCTTGAAACAAACATCCATCTAAAATATTTTGATGGCTGTCAAAAAGCTATTTTATAATTAAACCATCGCAATAAATTGATATTGAAGCTATCAAATTGTGAAATAAATAAATTTGATAATTTCTTGTTAAAATTTATTTCACTTAGGACTCAATTTAATTGAATTTGGTCCCCGAACTTAATATAGTTCGATTATTACAATTTTCAATCTACGTGAAGTTAAGCATTAAACTATTATGTACAATTACCGTAGGCTTTCACTGACGAAAAACTTTTATTATGATTTACTGTCATCGCTTTCTTTTACTTTGAAAAAAAAAACTAAGATGACAATATAATTTTATAATTATGTGTTGGTAGTGTAAACCTACGGTTATTTGATTTAGCGATCATTATTCTATTCTATCTTATCGCTGTAAGAGCTATTATGATATTTTTTCTTTTTTTACTACCATTAATTCTAATAGTTCGATATTTAAATTCATGTTTCTGATGATTAGGTTCAGTACTAACGTGTTTAACAACTTCGTTGGTTATTTTTTGAAGTTTTCCTTTTACTTTTATCCATCTGTCACTTTTAAAATCATACTCTACACCAATTGATAGCAAAAGATCTTGAAATTTAGGCCATTTGGGTATAATTTTATCATGTACCTTACTATTTTTAACATTTCTTAAATTATTTAAGTTTATTGACACATCTTTTGATATGTTATTTAAGCGATTATAACTTATGTATACATTATATAAACTATTATCTAAAATAGGTTTCTTCTTGTTATCTTCTAATTTCGTGCTCTGTATTCTTTTAAGATGCTTCTTATGTTTTGGTAATTTACTGTGCATACTGCTGTAGAATTCATTTTCTGTGTCTACATCAAAGTCCTTATATGGCCACATATCTCGTTCTATTTCTGAAAGAAAATGGTATATTGTTTTCATGTTAATTCTTTATATGTTTGTAAGCAAATGTGAAATTGTGCATTCATTTTAAAAAGGTTATTTTATCATTCATATTTTATGTAAACATTCGAATTTATAATATTAGTAAGAGAGCAAATGTTGCATTGATTTTGTTTACAAGCATGTTTACCTGTGGATTCATCTAATACTCTCACAATATATGACTTTTCTCTTGTTCGTTTTTTCCACCTTTCATCTCCTCTGCCTACAAAATTATTCAAATGTTACCAACGTAGTTAAATATAAGACAATGTATATAATATAAAATTAGAATTATACGACTAACCTGCGAAAATTATGCATAAAAATAAGTAAAAAGTAGTTAAATTCATTTTTTCGAATGATCACTACAGTTAAATGTCCTGAAACAAAGATTAATATTAATGATACAATTGGTATTTAAATGTGTATATTTATTATTAATTACATGAAATAAAAGTTTTCACATCGCAAAGTAAAAGTTAATCTGAAGCAAAATAGATTGCAACCTTCAAGACAAAGAATGTTATGAAAAATGTTTCTGAAGTAAGTTCAAACAAGCCTATATATAACATCATCAGCTCAGTATACGATCCCATTGAAGGGCTCGGAGCCTACCCTCAGTTAGGGGTGACTAGGCCATAGTCAACCCCGCTGGCCCGGTGCGGGTTGATTGACTTCACACATATGTATCTTTAAATTTCTTCTCAGATATGTGCAGGTTGCGATGTTTTCCTTCACCGTAAGAACGTCGGATAAATGAACATGTGTAAATCGGAAATCGAAAAACACATTGGTTCATGGCGGGATTCGAACCCAGGACCTAAAGATTGTAAGTGAAATGCTTGACCCCTGAGCCACCGACACTCCAACTTTCAGTATTAGTGACATTCGTAGCGGGATTCGAACCCAGGATCTGCAGATTGCAAATCAAGTGCTTGACCCCCGAGCCACCGACGCTCCTATACGTATACTAGTGTATAATTTACACACTGAATAAAAAGTAAAGCCACCGAATTGTGATAAAGATAAACTGGAAATCCGAATACGGACACTCGGTAACCCATCGCATCGATTTCTGATGGCCTCGTATTAATGACGATTACGGAATTAGACTAAGATTAAATGTCGCTTGACCCAAATAATCCTACATCAAAAAGCGATACTACTTACTTAATTTTATATAACAACAGTATTTAAAATATAGTTATTTTTTTAATGAAAGTTATCAAAAATCTTTTATTAAAATATAACGTAGGCTATTGAATTTCAAAAAATAGGTGGTGATTTCGGAAACATTAATATGCAAATACTTTATTGAATAATTGGGTCAGTTTGGAATACCAATATAATAATACTGAAAACACATTTTGATGCGTTGAAGTTTCGTAAATGTTAAAGGGATGAATCAAGTATGTCAAAGCAAATATTTTGTCACAAAACTTAATATCACTTTTACTTTTCATTGCCGAAAAACATAGACCATTTTCTATAAGCACGACAGGAATACAAATGTTTTGGCATTAAAATATACGATCATTACCTTTATTTCTTTGATTCGAATGATTAACAAAAGACTATCTTCCTTACAAAGTTTGCCAGTAAAGGTAGTTGCTATATTTCCATGCTTGTTTTTACTTGAACTTAAGACGATGTATGTAATAATAAATTGTTTTCTTTTTTGAGAATAATGAATTTGAAGGATTTTTATACAAGTTACGGTAAATGGAACTGTTATTTTCACGCTTTTTGCATTTCCAGCAGAACTTTTATGGGTATAAATGCGTCAGTGAGTCTGACGGATGTTGAGAGGATGCAACCGGATGTTATATGTAAGGATAATTTTCCCGCAATATTTTTTAAATTCTTCCACTGACACTTTAATACATTGGCTTATATTTTGAAAGAGTTTAACTATGCACAAATATATATGTAGTTATTGGAGTAATGTTTTTCGTAGGTATAAATCAATTTATGTATTTTAAAGTAGTCCATAGCTTTATTTTAAAAAGTAAAGTATGACAGTCTCATTATTTAATTTCCAAACCGTTAAATTTATGTGAAATGGAAATGTTTATATGATACTAGCGGTCGCCAGCGACTCCGTTAGCGCAGAATTAAAATCATAAAAATATAGTTGCCTATGTGTTTTTCCAGACTATGCTTACATGTATGCCAAATTTCAGCTTCAAACAAACATCCCTCCATTCATCTAAACATTCGCGTTTATAATATTTGTAACATAGTAAGATTAACATTTAATAACGAAGTAGTCTGTTTTTATGGATGAATTTAGTGATACATTTCTTTAGGTTTATTTTTAAAAAGAAAATTATATTAAGACCCTCAGGTTGACGGCATTTTTAGAATTCTGTTATATAAAAAATTACTTTCATATTGTGACACATTTTTGACGTCAAATTCAACCCCTGTCAGACAATTTCTTAATAATTTACATAACTTCGTAGAGACATATTTCAAAGGTCACCTTTTTAGTTTTTACGATAGGATTTTTGTAATTACGTCAAACATTGTCAAATTTTAATTACGGTTTTTGGTGGCGTAACAATACGTGTCTGTAATAATAATTATTATAAGTAATTTATTAACTTATTGTAAATCAGAGCTACATATACAAGTCCCTGTTTTTCGTAAATTTGTTAAAAATAAAATATATTTGAAACTTAATTCCCAAAACTTCATTTAATTTCAAAATTTATATTCAAAAGGATATTCATCAATTGAACAAAAAAAATTAAAGTCAAAGTTATATATTTTTTAGTTATAAAAGCTTGGAAAAAATTCTACCAACCTCAAGCAGCTTTCCTTTAACACGCACAACATTTGTAAAATAAAATCTTGAGATTTTAAACTTAATTCCGTATTTATTTCGCACAATGTTTTCTATTATATTACGATCGTTCAGTTTTGATATTACTCGCCCAGTTGCTACACACGTCCTCACAGTCCGGGATTTCCACTCTACTGACGGAGCGGTGGTTAGTCCCTTGAATGTACCTAGTATTTTAGCTGTATACTCTACCAATCCCGGCATATTTTCCATCTGTACGTTTTATACATTGATTCTCTCACAGCGCACACATTTTTAGAATTTCGTTTAAGAAGAGCAGTGGATTACAAATATTCTACGCTCTCGATGGATGTCGTTGAGTATTAAAAGAAGTATTTAATGTGATGTCGTGTACTCTATCTCTTATGTTCTAACTGTAAAGACTACACACACTTATTTAAATTTTAATCTTGTCGTTAATTACATAGAGCTTATTGTTTTCAAACTTAATTTAAAATCAAAATCATATCAAGACTTTGAAATTAATTCCTTTATTTGCTATGTTTAGTGTTTTCGATACATCTAAGACATCTTTTATTTTTAGATAAAATTTACTAAAATTTTTATAGTTAATTTGCAATATTTCCAAACCAATACGACTTAGGGACCTTCAAGAAGCGAGCATACCATTTCCTTAAAGGCCGGCAACGCATCTACAGTACTGGTGTTGCAGATGTCCATGGGTGTCGATGATCACCTTGGTGTTCCCGCCGCTCGTTTGCCCCCTTCTCTTATAAATATATATATATATATATATATATAATATTAGGGAATACGAGGTCGCTGGTATATACCATATTAAAAGAATATTAAAGTACAAAAGCATATCCGGTAGCACATACAAAATTAGAAGTAGGATAAAAAGTATCAATCTAACTGGTCGTTGGCTCCAAAAATGTCCATTAATTAAAACCTGCCTCAAATTTAACGTAAGCCTCTAGATTTTGTGCCTTTTTTAACGTACATTTTGTAAGGGTAGCCATTTAATACTTCGCTCATCTTTCTTTTAGCTTTAAATGCTGAAATAATTAAAGCGTCTATTGTCTTTTGACAATCTTTTGGTGGTCTTTTTTCACCAAATTAATCCTTATTAGTAATATTTATTAATCAGGATATTAGATTTTCTTTATTTAAATATATTTCTATATTGTTTAAAAGAACTTACTTTTATGCCACCTTAAAAAAAAATTGTGATGTCTTCTTAATTATTTTCAAATTTATTGCATTGTTTGCTTATCATCTCTTTGGCCGTATGTTTTATAAAATTTATTATACCTACTTATAAATAAATATACGTTAATAAAAAATTATCTTCGATTGTATTCGACAAGATAAAATGTTAAATGCTCTTAAGACTTTTGGTAAGGAATTCTACTGTTAAATTGAATCATTAATCAGTCGTCGGCGCGAGAAAGTGATAAGGCAAACCTTTCTTCAATTAAGTTAATGGCAATTCTTTAACCGACTTTGATCTTGAAATTTCTAACTATACGTTCGTTTTTTATAAGATGCTTTATCGAATTAAATTCTTATACTATATATAGACATTAATATAAAATGCTATTTACTATTTTGTATATATACTTTATTTGAATGATTTTCTATTATTTGACACTAATGTGGTTTAAAAGTGAAGGGTGAGTTAATAATAAAGCAGTATTCAGAGGCTAGCAATCAATGTGTAGATCAAAAGTCGGTTTTTAGCACTTCATTAGAATTTAGACTCGACGCTTACTCGTTTGTCACCTAATAGAATTAAAATCTTCCAAACATCATTGTCTCAACATGATATTCAAATGAGTATACCTGAGTTTGGTAACAAAAAACATACGTAAAATGGATAATATGTAAAAAAAAATCGCGCGTGGCTTTAACGAGAGATATGTTATGTAAGTATACATATGTAAGCGTTCTGTTTTGTGACATCAATCTCTGGCTTTACATTACATTAGCGCGAGTGGGTAGGCGCGTAATGTTGCGAGCAAAGTAAACGGATATCAGTTACTAGTATTGCGTCATTGTTTTTATTGCTCACCGTAGGTTTCTGATACCAAAATCTCTTTAAAAATATATAGTCATCCCTGTCTTTCATCTTTGACAAAACAGAGATAAGTGTAATTTGGTTTCAGAAACCTACGGTCAATCAGACTACTGTGTTGTGACAAGCTCTTTAATAGAATGCTACGTGATGCTACGCCGTAGAGTTTATTATTCTGTACCATTAAAATGACTCCAAAAACTCCGTTTAGATGACAATAGCAGTGTTTTAATAGTAAGAGGAAGAAAAATAGGATCCACAGGATGTTTCAAAAGCTATTGGAAATATTATCGCTTTATTATTTGTAATAAAAATTCAAAGCTTATTTTATTGTTCAGAGAATTTAATAATACTCGTAATTATAGAAGGTAACAAACAGTAATGCTGATGCACACGAACGTAGGCACATTCCACTTAGAATGGTTTTAAAAAAGCCGACTGAATTCACGTTCAACGAGCGTAAAATAACTCTCAAAAGGAAATCCTATCCATTG